TCTACTACAGCAATGCTGAGCAAGGAGCATGCCTAGATTCTTCAATTTAAAATGCAAACCAAACATGTTTGGGTTTTGTTTCCCCTGGAGATTAAACAGAGGTGGTGCTGGTCACACATACCAAGCACTTACTGACCACAGCTGGTAATCATGATCTGAAAGGGAAGACTGCAGAACAAAGAGGAACCCTCAACCAAAATGGGAAATATAAACAAACAAACAAATAAATAAATGACAATGCTTGTGTTTCTGTTTCCCTTCCTCTAGAACTCCCACCTCCTACTTCCATCCTCTTAATGGTAGGAAGGCAGAAGACATCAATACACAGGCCTTGTTACAGAATTCACAGACTTTGTGCCAGTAAAAGAAGGTGGGCTTTCCTATGTCCTCTTTCCCCTCGAGTTACTTAACAAATATCCTCCCCTCACTCCTTGAGAGACAGACAACTTGTATCTGGTTCATGTATCTCTAAAAAGCAATAAAGAAGTGTCCTCCTTTCATCTAATTTACTTCAAAATTGCCACTCAACCTGTACTGGTGTGCTTATTTGCAGTAAGTGACTAATTGACACAACTATCTAGGGCCTAGAAAATGTATTTTAAAATACCACCTTGGAAGACAGGAGTCTGAATAAAATTTAAATAACTGAAAAATGCTGAATAAAAAGGAAGAAAAATACGTCACGTCCCATTTCCACACAGATATTAATTAAAAAATGTTAAACACCATCACTGATAGGAAAACCCCACATCTTGTAGACAGAGTCCTGTTAAAATAAAATAAAAATAAAATTAAATTAATAATCCAGTCAGTAAAGATAAGTGTTTTAATCAACACAATTTTACCAAGTACCCACCTAACTCATCTCTCCCTTCCCACACAACTCCCCAGTCAGTGATCAAGAGGAGAGATAAAAACCTTGAATATTCACCTGGCTTGAGCTGAAAGAAAAAGTAGTTTTGGTTTTCTTGTAGGGGACAAAAGTCATCTCTGTACCTACCAAGGAAACAGCAAGCTACTGAAGTAGGAGTTTTCTTCTGTTGTCTGGGTAAGTCTTTTATGATAATTTTATTTAGGAGATAAAAATGATTCAACATCAGAGAGGCACATAATGTGTGTTTTTGTACCTTTGTCAACAAACAGAACAAGGAGAGGACACCTAGTGGTGGTCTGTGATAGGGCTGGTGGAATGGGAGCCACAGATGAAATCTTCAGTGCAGGACCTGATCGGGCAAAGCTCTCACACATCTCATTTTTAATCACTTCAGTAAGACTTCCAGCAAGTGCTTATTTATGCGATTTTCTGAACCTGCATTACTGCGGTTATCAGAAATAAACCAGCAAATTTGGAATATGGCATGTCAGTGTGAGATGCTCAGGAGTGTGTTTTGTTAAACACCAGAGCTTTACCAACTAGAGTGGCTATTGACACTGATGTTATTTTCATGAAACACAAAAAGGTTTTGCAAATTAAAAACCAGATTTCAGTACAAGTTAAACCAAAATAAGACAAGGCTGCAATTCACAATTTTTTGCACATTTTGCCATGGGATCCTTTGCAGAACATAACCTTTGTTACATAACTTGCAATAAGTATTGATTCTCTTTAAAAATGGTTCTAGTTCTACATAATCAGACATCTCAGAACAAAAAATACTTAGGGCACATTTTTGGAAGAATCAATTTACTCGCAGATTTACTAGGTCTTGTCTGTGTTTAGAGCTGTAAACAGTGATATTGAAGTCTGGGTTCTACACAGTTTTTGGAAAATATTCTTATTTTAAAGAGCCAGTAAACTAGTATCGTAGGCAAATGTAAAGCAAAGTTGACGTGGAACAATGTATTTATTTTAATTGTTTGTATCTTTTATTTTAATTGTTCACTGATCTATGAGCATATTTACCTAAGAATAATCTACTAGTTGAATGTAAGCCTATGTTAAAAAAAAAAATTCAAGAGTCCGAAGTTTAGGTAGTCTCATAAAACTTAAAGGAAATAAGAATTAGGTCCAGATTAAAAAAAAAAGAAATAAAAATCCAAAATAGGCTCCCTGTCAGAAATTACTGCAAAATTATAATTTCTGTAATTGCAAATTTAAATATAAATTCTTTTCTTGCAAATAATTTAGTTTAAGTAAATATATGATCTATTGTCAATATCTGTGTCTAAAGGACTCGAATATTAGAATTTGTAGCTAAAAAGCAGTTTCAGGGAAGAGTGAATTTGCATATTCAGTACATTATTTCCTGCCCACACATCTCCTGTGCCTTTCTTGAAGAGTTTCTTCCCATTTCCACTGCACCATTCATTTGGGTAAGTAATTAGCATCAGACTGATATGAATATATCAATCAGTTTTCATATATATTCTACCACAGGCTATAGCTGTTCCATAACACTTAATGAGGAGAAAGCTTCTGCAATGCATACATTATTTACTTCAATATTACTTTAGGTGGCTGCTGGCAGCTTGATCTTAATTTAATTGACTTAGATGATGTGGAAATAAAGAAAAGGAACCATGTTTCACCAGCATCATGTAAGAATCTTTCAAATTTTTGCCTGCTCATCTTAAAGCTCAGGATATCAACCACCTGAATTCCAGATATGTGATATCTAAGAAAGAAAAGCTCAAACAATGTCAGCCTGCCTTTTTTCTTTGAGGATATAGAAATACAGGGATAACTGCCTTATCATACAATTGGTTTGTCTGTACATCAGTTATCCATGAATAACAGTTATCCAAGTGATATGAAGAATGGGTTTGCTGGCTGTCCTCTCAATATTTTTGACATAATGCTTATTATTCTGGAACCAAATACATATATTTCAGATTTATCTGCACCACATTTAAAACTAATGTGTCAGCTCATAGGCAAAAAAATATGAAATCCTTTTAACCACACACAAAAAGGCTCCAGTTGTGGGCCATAAAATTTGAGCTGCTCCTTGCTGTCCATGTGCAAACACACACATACAGAGAACACTAAGATCAGCACCAGTCTCACTGACTACCCCATGGGATCATCCATTTATTGTTTCCCAGTAATTCAGCAAATGTCATCCCTAATCACTTGTTTTGTGTCTATGTTTTAAAACATTAAGATATTGTAACACACTTTTTCCACAAAGCCAGATATGAAAATCCATGACCTTCCGCATTTCTGATCTCTGCAGAACACTAAACAAAAATAAAAGCAAACTATCAAATAAAAAAACTACCTTTTTCCCGTCACACATTTAATTTTGGGATTTATCAGAGCCTGATTCAGACTATATATTTCTCTATGCTCTTGCATGTGAGAATTTTTTTTCGAAATCAGCCAAAGAACTTTTTGCTGCTTTATTACAGGCCAAAATAACCCCCAAAAAAGAAAAAAACCCTTATCTTTAGATCCTCTTTTACCTTCCTGTGAACGTATTTCATAAATTTTACTAGTGGAATTAAAGATGAATTTGCAATCAAAAAGCCATTAGCTAAAGACAAACAGAGCAAACAGCAGCTACTGCTGATTTGGACCATATACTCTGGTCACTTTTAGTCCCACTTACTGGCCAATTCAACCATTTTTTATTTAGAATACTTGATTTCTGTTTGACAACGGACAGAAGTGGGGGGAAAAAAGGGAATTAATTTCTCTGCTTAGTAGGCCTGTACAGTGGCAAGAGACTAACTCAAGCTGCCAGAAAATAATGTCATTGAATTCATTTCAGAAGGTTGTCTCTCTGTGAAGCACAGAGGAGACAAAAGCACAGCTTTATGGTAGAATTGCAAAATATGCTTAATCATTTGCCTTAGTTGAATTGAGTACAAAACTACAGTCTTCTATTTCTGTGCAAAAACATCTTTTCAGTGCTTTACAGAGAGGCAAAAAGAAGTAGCTTTACCAAATAGAGCAATAAAGAATAATGACCTATATCAGGGGCTTTTCGAGAAACTACTATAAATTTTTTAGACTTTTGATATTTAGCAATATCCAGCATCATACCATTTTAAATTACAATCTGACTTTATTTGAGATAATTCTGCTTTTAAGTTTCTCTTAAACCAGAAAGTGCGTTTTATACTAGAGATAACCAGCCATAAAAGTACCAAAAATGGTACCAAATTGTCCTTCAATATTCATTTAATTGAATAAACCTTTATCAAACAGGTAAAAAAAATTATGCAAATCTATTTTAATACTGCTTTCATGATAATGCTCTACAAAGTAATTTTCCTTATGCTTACTGCAGTTATTTTTTCTATGGCTTTAGCACTTCTGTTTAAAACACATGATGATATTCAGAACTACAGAAATGAGGACAGGCAAGGAACAAAATGGTGGTATGTGCCAATGCATTTAACATTTCCTAGCCATGAATATGCCAAAGTGGGGAATGCCATAATCTCCTGGACAAGTCTCCATGCCAAATTGACAGGCAGCATAACATCATGTCTGGAAATTGCGGATTTGAATGCTTAGAAGGCAGTGACTCAAAACTGCCCATTTTTCATAGAGAAGGCCAATATTTATGACATTCAGCTTATATACAGCCTTCAAACAATGAGCATTCTAGGAAACCTACTCCATGGTAAATGGTTTCAATTTCTTCTAAAATAGAAAAATATGAAGAAATTTAAGTTCTCTGTGACTACATTCAAGTGCTAGTCACCAACTCTAGCGCAGGTTTAGGTGGTTGTTAAAATTGCTAATATTCCTTTCTAGAATCTTATTCAGATAATTTGGACATTTGGTAACATCATTAGGAGTCCATCCATGTGAATTGTACCAATGCCAAACATATTTTGGTCTCTGCCATTAGCAGAGGAAGATGGTTACTCCCTGCTGATTTTTTTCTAAAAAGGCCTTGCCATATTTGCACGTGTTTGTAATTACAACAGGTAGTGATGAAAACCTGTATTACATTCTTGTTCTGGTGCAGCTCTTCACAGAGATTTAATAGTGTTGGGTAGGAATAAGATCTTAGTGAATGGTGTTATAATCATACAAATCTTACCTCTTCCCACTGGTGTATGTATCTAATCAATCTTGAAAGACGCAATAAACGTAACAGGCTGAGGATTTTTGTAAATCTCACAATACGAAGGGCTCTTGCTGTCTTGTAAACCTCTGAATCCATTCCTTTTTCTACAATGAGAAAGATATAATCCACTGGTATTGATGAGATGAAGTCAACCACAAACCAGCTTTTTAAGTAATTCATCTTAATGATTTTAGGGTCCAGTATTATTTCAGAGCTGTCCTCGTTTACAGTCCCAGTTCTAAAATTCATGATCAAGTCCAATAGAAAAACAGTGTCTGATGCCACATTGAAAATAATCCATGGTGTCGTTGTTTGTTCCGTGAAGAATGTGATTCCGACTGGTATAATGACAAGGTTTCCAACCATCATTATGAGCATGATTAAGTCCCAGTAAAACCTAGGAAAAAAGGAAGAAAGAGAGTTGGTTGATGTAATGTGGTAAAACATTACAAAATGGCCTCTCTCACACCGCCAACTTCACCACCAGATTTTATTACTAAGGAAATTCTTATTGCTTTAACTCATTCAGCATATCCATGATCATTAAAGACAATGTAATTAACACACTTCATTATGTGCCCTCTGTCTCAAAAATATGCATGTAGAATGAAGCATTACTATGGCTTATCACTCCATGGTATATCACACACTGAAAGGTGGGCATGTGTAGGTAGTCCTGAGCAGACTTATCCAGACTCCTGTCAAAACCTTTGTGCTTTTATATAGACAAAAATTATGTCTTGTGCCAATCAGAAGTGCTTTAGCAATGCAACAGTTTTCCTAAGATTTCTGTCCACATGGAAAGCCAAATAGATACATTAAATGTCAGTATCTCTTTTCAAATGTACTGATACCATTACAGTGCTGGAATAAAATTACAGGAAGATGAAAAAAGAACCAAATCAAAAAATAGAAACAATAATTAGATAACATAAAAACCTTCATCCACTTTTACAACCTTAATTGAACTTTCATGCATTTTTACAACCTCACAGTCTATCTTCTTTCAAACTAGCTAAGAAATGTTAGAAAAAATAGCTGCAATTTGCATAGTAATAGAAAGGGATACTGCACATCACCATTTTGCTCTGGAAGGATCTAAAGGCTCCCCTCTAACACTGTTAGAATACTAACCATGCTTGACAGAATGTGGTAGGGAGACAGACTCAAAACTCTAGTATCTGTGATGGCAATGCTGAGTAAATGCACCCATTACGTAGAATATCTATCTTGATGCAAGATTTTCAAGGGACAGCAGTACATACCAGATTTTAAGCAAATTGTGATAAATCCTAAATGTTTAATAGTCAGAGAAAGCTATTCTTACGCAGTAAAAGAACCGAAATGGAACTCAAGAAATCCTGAACTCAATACATAACCTCTTACTCTATTCAAGAACATGACCTGGTCAACTAAAATTGATCTGGAGAGGTACAGAAACCAATCAACAACAGTTGCCCATGGACTCACTGGTGTTTCTGGAAGAGTAGAGGCAGCACTGTCTCCAGAACTATCCCTCTGCTCCATCCCTCTGTCACAATGGGCCCTGGTGCAAGGGACATGTCATGGACACACCACCAGCACATCACTTCAATGCTGACTTCCAGGCCACTTCCATCATACTAACACCAGCCTCCTGACATGCAACACACCCTCACCTTGGTAAAGGCTCATGGCAGCCAGCAAAAATAATAGTTTAACTGGCCACAAAACATTTCAGAACCACAAGCCTAGTTTTTGCCAGACCTGCATAGAGAATATGGATCACATTAGATTTCAGAGATTGCTTCTTGTGTTACCAAATGATCATAAAATCATAGATTGGTTTGGGCAGAAAGGGATGTCAAAGATCATGCACTTCCAGCTCCTGTGCCATAGTCAGGGACATCTTCCAGTAGACCAGGCTCCTCAGAGCTCCTCCCAGCCTGGCCTTAAACACTTCCAGGGATGGGGCATCCACAGCTTCTCTGGGAAATCAACAGCCTCATCACCTCCGCAATAAAAATCTTTATGCAATATCTAATGTAAACCTCTTTCTGTTTGAAGCCATTTCACCTTGTCCTATCACTACAAGACATTGAAAGAAGTCTCTATCCATTTTTCTTGTAGGCTGCCTTTGGGTACTAAAAGGACACAGTTAGGTCACACCAAAACCTTTCCTTCTCCAGGCTGAACAATCACAAAGATCTAGCTTTTATAAATTACTTTTTTTTTTTTTTCATGTCTATCTTGGAAGCAAATACTTCTAAGTTTACAGAGTGATCATCAAAGAATATAAATTATTATCTGTAACTGTAAAACATGCTAAAGGAAAAGCAGCATAGGATTGAGAACAGCATGAGAATTCCCAGTTTCAAAATTATTTATTCCAAGAGACACCTGGAGAGATTAGATTTAACTATCATTTGAGAGAAGAGAGCAGTTGGCAATATGCCTCTAACAGGTATTCAGAAACTCCATGAAATAGACAATGAAAATTATTCCCTGTGTACTACAATGTGATTTGTGTCCTACACATTTTCAGTCTTGCAATAAATGTGAAACTAACTGCTAAAAATGTTCAGTTTTATACAGGCTGTATGTATTTTTGTTCAGCATATGATAGTATTCACCATATCTGGAAAAAAAATTCCCAATTTCTCCTGTCTTTTTTAATTCCTGTAATACTTCTCACTGTGCTAGATTCCTTTTCAGTAATCTGGAATTCCTTTCCAGTAATCTGGATTTACCACAAGGAACTAGTAAACTCATAAATCACTGCCACAGTGATCTACAAGTAAAATTGCCAAACACTTTTAAAATGCCATCAACCAAAGTACTTCACAAAAGTACTCTGGGAGAATAAACATCTTCAAGGAATACTTACAACTAGCCGAAAACAAATAGGAAATGATTATGAGAGGTGTCCTAGTATCTGTGGCTCACTCCTAAGGAAAATCATTGCTAATTTCAGATTGACCTTTACATTTCTCTAGCGCAGGGAGCAGTTATGCAATAAGGGCTAACCAAAGCCACACCACAACCAGCCAACATAAGAGGTAATACAGAAACAGGTGCTCTTAACCTACGGTAATCCGCGGTTTAAAGGATCATCGCCAACTGTGATTATGCAAAACACACTGGTGTTCCTGATGCTGAATGTCAACAGAAGTGGTGGCATCAGGGCTAAAACAATACTGACTGCTAAGAACTTTTGTATTTTACCCCACAGTATAATACAAACTGATTCGCTGGTAAGAAGAACCCTTATTATTTTTCATTTAGAAATGACTCAGACATTTTCTTTTAGGAAAATGTTTCCAAATGCCATTCTGTTGGCCATGCTTTATTTTATTTCAGGTGAGAAAAACTAGATGCAACTGCCTGTATTGCCCTTCTTTGACCTGTGCAGAGAAAGTAATACAATGCGTTCCTTGCCTACAGTTCAGAACATCCTACTATTCACGTAACAAGGAGGAAGCTGTAAAAATCTCACAAGATGCAAGGAGCTGCCACTGACACACTGAGATAGCTCTTCATTTCAAACTTCTTTTAGGATTATTTACCTTTATTTTTTATTTTTTATTTTTTTTTAACTTCCCCCTACCCCAGGGAAGATGGTTATGAATCTACAATTTATAATCTCAGGAGTTCCACATTTATGTAAGGTATTATAAAATCCTGATGAAGAGCAAGGAAGAGGTAGGCTTCTAACACAAAAATTTCGAGAATGAGGGAAAAAAGCAAGAGTCTGGGGGTGCTGAGGTCTTCCAAAGCTCAAAATGAGAAGGAAGGACTGACCTTAACCCCATAGCAAACAGCTATAGAGCTTATTGCTCACCTGAAGCTAAATCAGTGAAGCTGCTACTAGATGCCACAAACAGAGAATACAGAGGTCATCACTGCACTGCACTGAACTATTCCTGAAGCTTTTTAAATGTGTCTAAATGTCCCAGAGGGATAATACTTCCAGGTAAAAAAAAAAAAAAAAAGTCTTCAAATATTAAGGTATTGGCACAAAAAATGTGCCCATCTTGAGGCACATTTTTTTCAAAAATTTAAAATATTATTCTATACAGAAATATTAAAAAAAGCCCCAACATACTAATTACTAATTTGGAATTCTCAAAATGGTTTCATAGCCCTCTTTCAGTGATCTTTTCACTCATAGTTTATTTACTACATTTTTAAAACTTAGAGTAATAACAGTGTATTTTCAGCTCTGGAATATGGTGCTAAAGTCTTGGTGTTTTATTTGCTGCCACAGGCTGTCCTGGATAGGGTGAACAGCCTGCTCAAAATGAGTGCCTATCCAAGCAGTGAGAAAGAGTTACTTAGTACTAATTAATCACTGTTTGTATTAGGCTTAATAATGTAAGATGCTATGAATTCTAACAGGCATTTTATTTTCCACTTTATATCCCCAACCCAGAGAAAATGGAGTCTTAAGGAAGGAAATTTCATCTCCGAGTTAATTTTCTGCATAATTTTCTCTACATACAAATTCAGATTTGCTTGTTTTATTATTTCCTTTTTCTGCCCATCAACAGCAGAGTCTCAATTTCTTTGAATCAGCATAGTTTGAGATATGATCATCCACACGGTACACCCAGACTGAACCAGCAGAGCTGTCAGTGGTCTCACAAGCCACACAGCAGAGCGAGCGGCATCTCTCAGGCACTGTGTGCTGTGAGCAGAGCTGCAGAGCAGTCAGGGCTTTGCTCAAGTTTACATTTTCTCAGTTTCAAGAAAAATTGCAAAGATTCTGATCTTTTATTAAGCAGGAGCAAATCCTATCAGTAAAACTTCAGGAAATTCAGTCTAAACACTGAAAATAAATACTCATCCTCATTATAAACAGGAAGGCCATTGAAAAAGATACTAAGTCAGACTCTTTGTAAAATACCTCTGAAGCAAAATTTGAGGCATCACAGATTAGGCTTTCTAATCTCAAATGCAACATGATTTCACTCTACAAATTCAGAGAACCAAGAACAGTAAAAAATTTCACAAACTGCTGTAGAAAACTTGCTTTTTCTATAGCTAAACATTGTGATTGACTAGCAGATGATCAGTGAAACGAACACCAACTTTCCTTTTTGCTTTTTTTGTTGTTGTTGTTGGATTTTTTTTAATCTCACCTTCAAACACAGCTTTGTTTCCTTTGCTTTCATAGATTACTGGTTCACCTTACAGAGAAATCTATGTCCTCTATAAAACAGAACAATCTTAGCAGAAACAACAGTAATTTTTGATTTTATTGTACTGTATGGCAGTGAACACTAAACTTGGTGTTATTCATATCAGAATTTCATTCTCATAGGATGTGTTATCTTTCTCTGGTTGTGCAACTCTATTAAGCTACTAAGAGGGAACAAAGCTAGACGTGCCTGAAAACATCTGCAAAACACAGA